GCCAAGGTACTGAAAAATATACTGAAAACAACTTGAAAATAAATAATCTTAAAACATGTCTGGTTAAAATATAGTCTGGTTATTATATAACTCTCTGTCTTTGTTTGAATCTGTATTTTAAGTCTTCTAAGGCAAATAAGCAGTATATACCTTGCATGTCTATTTACAGTTTTCTTGTGAGAATTGTGCTGTTCAGAGTAAGGAGGTGCCCAGATACTGATTTTCTTTAATCTCTGTGATCTCCACAGGCCAATCTGGAGAAGACGTGCCGCACTCTGGAAGACCAGCTGAGTGAGCTTAAGACAAAGGAAGAGGAGCATCAGCGCATGATCAATGACCTCAATGCTCAAAGAGCTCGTTTGCAGACAGAGTCGGGTGAGAGGGCCTCCAGAGTGCGGTAGAGTGGAAGAGTATCCTAAACCAGTTTCTTTGGCTGACAAATGCCAATGCATGTATTTCCTTTCTGTGCTCCTTCCCAGGTGAATATTCCCGTCAAGTTGAGGAGAAAGATGCTCTGATTTCTCAGCTGTCAAGAGGCAAACAGGCATTCACCCAACAGATTGAGGAACTCAAGAGACACTTAGAGGAGGAGATAAAGGTGATGCCTTTTCCTACAACTGCCTGCTGACAACACTCTTCACACTGCCTGATGGGGGCAGGGTCAGTTTAGCACAAGCCATACTGGGAAAAGATTTTACTATCTCTGGAGAGTACCATTAGTGGATTTCATCCTCCAGTTTTACATCTGTCCTGCATTGCAAACACCTACACCCTCCCAGTGTCCATGTTGGCAGTGCTAATTTAATTCATTGGAAGAGATTTCACAGGATATTACCATTGCTGTCCCAATCCCACTTTCTACCCCCAGGCCAAGAACGCCCTGGCCCACGCCTTGCAGTCTGCTCGCCACGACTGTGACTTGCTGCGGGAGCAATATGAGGAGGAGCAGGAAGCCAAGGGGGAGCTGCAGCGCGCCCTGTCCAAGGCCAACAGCGAAGTGGCCCAGTGGAGAACCAAATACGAGACGGACGCCATTCAGCGCACGGAGGAGCTGGAGGAGGCCAAGTACGTGGAAAGTGGGATCTCAAATGGCTGGCACATGCATAAACCTATGGGGCTGGATGGGATGCATCCTAGAGTGCTGAGAGAAGTGTGAGGGGTTCTCACTGATACACTGTCCATCATTTATCAACAGTCCTGGCTAACTGGGGAGGTCCCAGCAGACTGGAAGTTGGCCAGGGTAACACCCCTATGTAAGACGGTGTGGAAGGATGATCCGAGAAATTACAGGGAATTACACAGCGAAGATAGAGAAAGGCAAAGAAAGAGAAATTTGGAAATACAACTAAGATATTGTAATAAAAATTTAAAGTTCTTTTTTGGGCAGGCCTCCAAAGGGTGCGTTTTAGGAAATGTAGGGGAAAATATTCCCCTGAGCAGAGAATTGTACAGAAAACCTGTGGATAGTAGACAAAGAAGGCACAGAGGTTATTCGAGCACTGTCTATAAGTATGGGATATCTACTCAATGAAGTGATGAAACTTCCTATTGTGAAAAGATCATCAGCCACACACCTGAGGCTACTCTTTCCTCTCAAACCACAACCTGTACTTACCATCTCCCAGGAAGAAGCTGGCACAGAGACTGCAGGAAGCAGAGGAACATGTTGAAGCCGTCAATGCCAAATGTGCCTCCCTGGAAAAGACAAAGCAGAGGCTGCAGAATGAAGTGGAGGACCTGATGATTGATGTGGAAAGAGCAAATGCTGCCTGTGCTGCTCTGGATAAGAAGCAGAAGAACTTTGACAAGGTCTTCTGAGGTTCCTGGGTAGAGCATCCCATCTCATAGCCACATCCATACTGAAGCCCTGTTTCTCTTCAGATCCTGGCAGAATGGAAGCAGAAGTACGAGGAAACGCAGGCTGAGCTGGAAGCCTCTCAGAAGGAGTCTCGCTCGCTCAGCACGGAGCTATTTAAGATGAAGAACGCCTATGAGGAGTCCTTGGACCACCTGGAAACGCTGAAGCGTGAGAACAAGAACTTGCAGCGTAAGTCCCTGGCCCTCTGCTCCTGCCTGGGCTTTCTCACAAGCTTGTATGTCTACCATACTGAGTAGATCTGGGCTGGCAGTGATAAGAAGATGCCTGTTCCCTTAGTGCACCAGGCCCTTTCCCCATTCAGTTGACGATGATACTTTTCACCTTTCCTTCCAGAGGAGATTTCCGACCTCACGGAGCAGATTGCAGAGGGAGGAAAGGCGATCCATGAGCTGGAGAAAGTCAAGAAGCAGATTGAGCAGGAGAAATCTGAAATCCAGGCTGCTTTGGAGGAAGCTGAGGTACATGTCACTCAAAACATGAGCAATAGGAAGATATGGCTGAAAAACCTACTTGGTCCCCCTGTATTCTGTCTGGAGAGGGCAGACATGAAATGACTTGAAATATTTTGTCATTATTCAGAAACCCAACCATAGCTTTATCAGCGTTACAAATGTTTCTGTCCACTTGTCCAGGCCTCCCTTGAACATGAAGAGGGGAAGATCCTGCGCCTGCAGCTTGAGCTCAACCAGGTGAAGTCAGAGATTGACAGGAAGATAGCAGAGAAAGATGAGGAGATCGACCAGATGAAGAGAAACCACCTCAGGATTGTGGAGTCCATGCAGAGCACCCTGGACGCTGAGATCAGGAGCAGGAACGAAGCCCTGCGGCTGAAGAAGAAGATGGAGGGAGACCTGAATGAAATGGAGATCCAGCTGAGCCATGCCAACCGCGTGGCTGCTGAGGCCCAGAAGAACCTGAGGAACACACAGGCTGTGCTGAAGGTACCCTAAGGACATGCACATAGGTGTCTAGCTGTCTAATATAGAATCATTGAATCTTAGGATGGTTCGGTTTGAAAGAGTCTTTCAAAAATCAATTAGTCCAGCCCCTCTGCCCCAGGCAAGGCCATCTTTTACTAAATCATACTGCTCATATCCTCATCCATTCTGACTTTGAAAACTTCCCATGAAGGGACATTTACAGCATCCTGTCACTGGATACCAGGGGAAGATTTCAGCACCCCCCTCTTCACTGACCTTTCTCCAGAAGCTGTAGAGGCAATTAAGTAGCTTCCTTGTGTCCTTCTCCCCAAACTAAACAAATCTCTTGTCCTTAGCTCCTCTTCAGAACATGCCTTCCAACACTCTTACCAGCTTTATTGCCCTCCTCTAGATGCCTTTAAGTTTAGCATTCTTTTGAACTTGTGGGGCCTAGAACTGCACACAACACTCAAGGTGAGGCCACATCAAAGATAAATAAAACAGGAATTTAGCTCCAACCTTTCCATAGCTTTTCTGGTCCTATCCCTATACATCCAGGCAGCACCACTATATTCTTCCCAAGATACACATCTTTTGTTCCACTGCATATGCATTTCCTTCTTACATTGTAGTTTGACCAGGTCTTTACTCTGCCATACTCTCCTCCTGCCTTCTGGTCTCCTCCCGCCCAATTTCTTACACATGGAAATGAAGAGCTCTTTCACTCTGAGAAAAATGTTCTTAAAGAACTGCCAACTTTCTTCTGCTTGTTTATCCCTGAGGGTTGTTTCCCAGGGAATCACACATAGCAATTCCTTAAACAACTGAAAGATTGCTCCCCTAAAATTCAGAGTATTGTTAGTTACTTGTGTCAGTCAGGAGTTTGAATTTAGACTTACCTTCTCCTTGCACAGCCTTAAATTTAGGCAGAACTGTCACTGGGCCTTGGACAGCGTGCAATACCATGTATTGATTTCCTGCTCCCATTCTTAGATATTGTGCATGTACTGACATAATAATTATGCATACATATATAAATTTCATCTCTAGATATATACTTAAGTATCATATAGACATAATAATTATTACACTGGTGGTAACTGACACTGTGAAAATGTCATAATTTCTCTTTCCTCTCTTAAAGGATACCCAGATACACTTGGATGATGCTCTCAGGACTCAGGAGGACCTGAAGGAGCAGGTGGCCATGGTGGAGCGCAGAGCAAACCTGCTGCAGGCTGAAATTGAGGAGCTACGGGCAGCGCTGGAGCAGACGGAGCGTTCAAGGAAAGTGGCTGAGCAGGAACTGATGGATGCCACTGAGCGTGTGCAGCTGCTCCATACACAGGTTAGATTCATGAGATTCGAAATATCAAGAGTCTTTTTTTTTTGCCTTTGGCATTTTTTTCATCTGTGTAAATTCATAAATCACCTCTTGTAATAAAAATTTTAACCTAAGCTTAACAGAACTTTTACCCTGGTACAAATAGGACCTCTGTCTAGATGCATATGACCTGACAAGATGCATCATTTGAAGGAGTTTAAATTGGGACTGTGAATTTCTAGAACAAGTGTTCTGTTTCTGAACTACACTGGACAATATCTTTTGTTGCTCAACAGAACACCAGCTTGATCAATACCAAGAAGAAGCTGGAAACAGACATCACACAAATTCAGAGTGAAATGGAGGACACAATCCAGGAAGCCCGCAATGCTGAAGAGAAGGCCAAGAAGGCCATCACAGATGTGAGTTGGGGGCTCCTTTCAGAGCTGATGGTGGGTATATTCTCCACCAAAATGTCTCCAGCCCAAAATGACTTTGACCCTTTTTGCTCTCATCAGGCAGCCATGATGGCAGAGGAGCTGAAGAAGGAGCAGGACACCAGCGCCCACCTAGAGAGGATGAAGCCCCAGAGGGGGAAGGCCCTGCAGCACCGTCTGGATGAGGCTGAGCAGTTGGCCCTGAAGGGAGGCAAGAAGCAAATCCAGAAGCTGGAGGCCAGAGTACGTAGGGCTGGTAGCTGTGCATGAATGAACATGTCCTGTAAACAATCACCAGGGCAGCTCCAAAGATGGGCTTCTCATTGCAGGTGCGGGAGCTGGAAGGGGAGGTCGACGCTGAGCAGAAGCGCAGCGCTGAGGCCGTGAAGGGTGTGCGCAAGTACGAGAGGAGGGTAAAGGAGCTGACCTACCAGGTAAGGCAGGAGACCTGCTTGGACTGCTCTAGTTTTCTCCCAGCAAGTCCAATTTTCACACACCATCCCCACGGGAAATTGCTCACTTCACATGATGATGCAGAGCCAAGCATCTCTTCTCTTTCCTGCTTACCAACCACTCTAGTCTGAGGAAGACCGGAAGAATATTCTCCGGCTGCAGGATCTGGTGGACAAGCTGCAAACGAAGGTGAAATCCTACAAGAGACAAGCTGAGGAGGCTGTAAGTATTGCTGAAAGAATGAGCAGGAACCACCTTCCCCTGGGGCAGCACACTCACTGAGACGGGTATGAATTCCAAGAGATGGGCAGGGAAGAAACTCCCAAGGCACAACAGTCTTGGCCACATTGTTTCAGTATGGTGTCATGAGGCCTTTCTGAGTTCTGGGCACCCTGCATCAGTCAGGGATGAGCTGAGGGAAGTTCTGCAGCCTGTTTGATAGAGGAGGTCAGGCTGAATAAACCCAGGGGGTACATGCACTGACTGAGATGTTCCTGAATCTCTGCTCATAACAAATGGCACAAAGCTTCAGGGTCTTTCTCAAGCTATTAAGTCATGCTGATAGTTGGGCAATAAGCAGTTGGAGAAGTAGTACAGAAAGGATAAATCTAGGTGACAAATTATCGCCTGAATAGTGACTCAGTACTGGGGAAGCTTGTCCTGCTGGTGTACTGAAGGAGGAAGGATGAGGAGATCTGTGTGAGACTTATGTGTAAGGAATGGTTAGTGGAGGTTTGTTCCCCAGACAAGAGCTGCAGGCCCACAAGGCCAAGGAGCAGCAGGAGAGAAAGCCCTGCCCCGGGCTCCTCACCACGACTCCCTCTCCCGCACAGGAGGAGCTGTCCAATGTCAATCTCACAAAGTTCCGCAAGATCCAGCACGAGCTGGAGGAAGCCGAGGAGCGCGCTGACATTGCGGAGTCGCAGGTCAACAAGCTCCGAGCTAAGAGCCGGGAGTTTCATGGCAAGAAGATCGAAGAGGAAGAGTGAGGATGTCATGAGGCAACAAAGTGACCTGAGGGCTGCACAAAATGTGAACCTCTTGGTCACTTCTGTAATTAGTCTTTGTAACCTTGTCAATGTCTAGTGAATAAAGATTGTAGATTCCGTTGCACGCACAGCAAGAGCTTTGCTTTTTGTTGTTATGGTTCTATTCTGCAGTTACATAAATTTGGGGCATTTAGAAAAAAAACAACCTATTTTGATTTGTTTTAACAGTTATATAGCAGTAGACCTTTAATTATCCCATCTCTAATATTTCTCCCCTGTGTCCTTTTACAGTACTGGGTAGGGAAAAACACTAATTTAATTGGCATACAGGGAAGAGGAGAGGCTCAGGAGAAAGACAGGATGAGTACTTTGTTCTGACACAACAAAAATGTTTCTGCCTTCCAGAGTACTTTCTAAATGTACATGGACAGGTACACAGGGGCTCTCTTTTCTTATGCCATTCTCATTTTGAAAAGTTGGATTTAGAGGCAAATTGCCCCATAAAAATATCTGGAGCCCCAAAGGCACCTGCATGTCTCTGAGTCCTCATGGAAGAACTTAGGCAAAGACTGAGATGCTGTCTTCTTTAAACAAGGCAAGTGAAGACCATGAACTCTAGAGACTGTCTTCTTATTGAGAAAAGTTAAAGACCAAGCAGAGCATTATTTTTTATGGAAGAACTTATTAACAACCACTGCTAAAGCTGTTGTGGTTTAACCTCAACTGGCAAGTGAGCACCACACAACCACTCACTCACTTCTCTCACCCATGGTGGGAAGAGGAGCAGAATCAGGAAAAAAAGTAAAACTTGCGGGCTGAGATAAACAAATGAGTACTATTAATAGTATTACTTCTATTAATAATGATGATGATGATGATGAAAAGGAAGATAATAGAGAAATCAATCCCAAGAAAAGGTGAGTGATGCACAATGCATTGCTCACCACCCTCTGACACCTGAGCAGCAATCCAGCACCCCTGGCCAACTCGCCTCAGCTTATATCCTGAGCATGACATTCTGTGGTATGGAATATCCCTTTGGCCAGCTCGAGTCAGCTGTCCTGGCCGTGTTCCCTGCCAGCTGCTTGTGCACCTCACTTGCAGAGTATGGGAAAATGAAAAATCCTTGGCTTAGGGTAAGTGCTACTTAGTAACAACTAAACCATCCGTGTCTCACACTAAATCCAAAATACAGAACTGTAGCGGTTACTAGGAAAAAAAATAACTCTAAAACAAAACTAAGACAAAAGTAAAACAACGTAGCTGGATAAGAAGAAATTGCAGTTCCTTATCTTCTCTCTTGGACAGAATAGCCAAAATAAAGACAGAATGCCCCTGTTGTAAATGAAATAGAGATTGATGAACTAATTGGTGAGTGAGCAAGAGGACTCTGCAGGGGACAAACCTCAACCAGGATAATATGTAAAGCCACCAGAACAAAATAGGAGCTGCTGCAGTACTGTACAGGGTTTTCTAGTACAGAAATATTAATAACAGACTATAATAAGCTTTTCTGCCCCAGGAAGTGGTTTTGATGAAGGAAAGACTTCAGATGGAAATAATCCTGGCAATAGTACAGCTTTAAGGAAATGGTAAAGTCTAGCACATTACAGAAGAAAAAAAACCCGTAGAACATGATGTCAAGTTGTGTCTTACCTGTTTTACTCTTGCAGCTATGGATGAGTTGGAGTGTAGATACAAACTGCGTCCTGGACGGACAGAGAAGCAAAAAGTCATGTATACAATGTGTCCTTTTCTGAAGTCTTAAACAAATGACAGCTGGTTTCCTGCAAGGTAAGAAGCAGGACAAAAGTGAGGAAAAGCTGACCATGAGGAAGGCCTTCAAGGCAGAAAAGATGGCTCCCAAACCCAGCCCCTCTCATCAGTGCTGAGAGGAGGCTGTGCAGGCTGAGCATGGCAAGCCTAGACACCATGGGTGCCTCCACCCTTCAGGTGCAGTGTTGTACCCACTGGGAGATCACAGTGACGTGCACATCAGTGCTTCATTTATCAGGAATAGGTGTTTAACAGAGGCACTGCTTAGTTACCTGCACAGAAGGCAGCAGCACAACTTGAAGTATGGAACAGGCATTCTGGTGCATCGCACAGCTGCTAAGGGCAGATTCTACAAGCAGGTGTCAGGAATGCTAAAGGAGACCTGGCTCTCTCTCACTATAGGGACTCTCTCACTATGGGTCCCTCAAGTTCCTGGCTAGCTCTACATCACCAACACAGATTTCGAGAAGCTGTTGAGTTGCCAAAGAAAGGAGGTGGAGTAGTTGCAGGGGAAGAGGGGAGGAGATGGCAGGAAGGAGCTTTTTGCGCTGAGCACAGCAGTCAGGCTGCTTGTTTGCAGAGACTGCACTCCCGATTAGGAGGTCCTCCTTCTCCCAAGCACACTGAAGTTTACACCCAAGAAATTCTCCCATATTATAACTAAATATGGAAGTAGTTTGCTAGGCAGCAGCTAAATATATTTAAGGAGAAGATGACACCCTGTGTTGACTCCTGTGTCACTGTAAGCGATGCTGTTGAGAGACAGCATCTTTTGGTGTGAAGCTGTGAAAGTTGCACCAATGCCAGCGATATCGGGGCACCACAGAAGGGAAACCACCCCTCCCCTCTCTCCCTTCCCACAGGATGCTCCCAAGAACTGGGTGAGATTCTTTCTTGCAAGACAAAACCTTTGTTTCCACACCTTGGAAGGAAGCAAAAGGGTATTGTTTGTACTAAAGCACCTGTTTCTTTAAACAAATCAACAAATGATACCAAATGCAGAAATGTTAATTCTGAAGTAAGTGTGTTGAAACTGTGCTCAGTAAAAGCATGGAGAAGTACTTCTAGCTCCATCAGCACTTTTTTAAACCTGCTGCCTGACTAACAAATGCCACAACAACTTTGAGGACCATATTTTGATGACTAAAGTCCCTGTTCTCCCTGGAGAGAACTAACTGGCCTGACTGTGGAAGAATCACGAGGCACTTGAAAATATTGGGGCTCTTCTCTCACCTGTAACAAATTTTGGCTTGACTTTGTTCCTAAATGATGAAAGATAATGTTGATGAAAGGTAATGCTGATGAAAGGTAATGTTGTAGGTTCCTTAAACAACAACATCTTGGTCCAATTATCTACTTCAAACTGCATGTGTGGAAACAGAAAGAAGTCCCACACATGGCACTGGGCTGACGTGGCCTTGCCACCAGCCATCCCAGAAAGCATAATTGGAGATTTCTTGGAAGCAGAGTGGAATCTTAATAGGAGGAGTGAGGGAAAATAATTTCTTCTCACTTTGTGGTTTGCTGCCATACACAGAGGACAGGAGTCATTTTGCATTGACACCCTATTTCTGGAGTCAGACTGCTTGTGACCTGATCAGTGCTGATGCAAAGGTAACTGATCTTCAGAAAACCATGAGTCCATAACAGGCATAAAGGAACATCTCTATGGGAAAGTTTAAAATAGATGCAGCTGACAAAGCTCCTCTAGAGCTTGTGCCACATGTGGTCTTACAGTTTGGGCATGAAGGGGCATGGTGTTCCTCCTGAGCACAAAAGTATCAGCCCTGTATGAGGCACTAAAACATGAAGGAAGTATTGCTGACCAAAAACTGAATTTCTCCCCAGTGACAGAAAAGGAGAGGAACAGAGGAAGAGAAGAACAGAGAAAGCAAACAAGAGTGCTAGAAGAAGAGGTAAAAAGAGAAAAGGAGAAGGAAAGAATAAGATATGGAGGAAGGAATGCAGGAAGGCAGCAAGGAAGGGAGAAAAGAAGTGAGGGAATAATCAAACAAAAAAATAGCCTGCATGTGAGGCTATTTTCTAGGGGGTTAACTCTTTGAGATACAGTTAGTGTAAATGTGGCCTCCATGTAAACCACTATAATGTATAGAACAAGGAGGTCACGGTCCTTCTGCTCAGAGCTCCAACCTGCTTATAGAGTTGTCATAAGTATATCCTCCAGAAGCTCCATGTGAGCTAAGAAACAATTGACATTCATATTTTAATGAAGGCAAATGCTATCCTGGGCTGCCTTGATAAGGGTATTACTAGCGAAGTAAGAGATGTAATCACCTCACTCTACTCAGCACTTGCCAGGCCATGCATGGAGTACTTTGTCCGGTTCTGATTTCCAAAATTCAAGAAAATTGTGGAAAGACTGGAGAGGATCCAAAGGAGGACCATAAAGATTATCAAAGGACAGGACAACCTGCCCTATGAGGAAAGACTGAAGGACTTAGTTTCTCCATGGAGAAGAGAAGGTTTGGGGGAGGGAATGTCATAATGATTTTCTGTTACTTAAAGAGCCCTACAAAGAGGATAGAATTTTCTCTTCTCAAGGAGGCATATGGAGAGGACAAGGAATAACAGTTGCAAGTTGCACTGGGAGAGGTTTCGTCCTGATGCAAGAAAGAAAATCTTACAGTGGGAACAGTTATTTCAGTGGAACACAGGGAAATGGGTGGAGTCCCCATCACTGGAAATTTCCATGATGCAACTGGACAGGGTGCTAGTTAACATCATCCAGGTTCCCTTTCCCATGAAAGGCTGGGAGAGATGATCTGTTGAGGTCCCTTCCAACCTGGGTTGTTCTAAAATTCTCTGATTTTTGAGATTTGCCATAAAAAAGGTTATGACATTAGAGCACCAGTTCTAATGTCTTTACAACTTCCATTTATATTCTCAAAAGATTCAGGCTTGAAAATGAAGCTGATATAATTTCATACAAAGATCTTTAAGTGATGATGGAAAAAATATCCTCTACATCACCCTCATCTTACTTAAAACACTGCTCTTTGGTTTGCTGTGATGGTAGGAGGAAGATAATTAGCTAACTCCAAGGCACTTTCACGAACTGCTTCTCCTAATATCCCAGGTCATAGTTTTTACCTTCCTATCCACGGCTCAGTGACATGATTGACTGCAGATTATCCTTCACAGTAGCTTTTCAGGAAGGCACTTGAAAAGTACGGCATCACTTTTACAAAAATGCAACTTCCAACATTCTATATGAAGGGAAGTAACCACTTTGATTTCCATGAACTGAAGCAAGGTCACAAATATTCCAGAAGGGACAGGACTTGGAGAAAGGAAATCCATTCATACGAAACAAACCACCAACAATTT